GGCGGGGCTGGCGCTGCCACCGCCGCAGTGTCCGGGAGGGGGAGCGCGGCCGCCACGCCCCCTGCCGCAGCCAGCCCGCCGCCCGGCGGGAGAGACGGGGGTGGCAGCTTCCGAGCGCCGCCCGGACGTCGCCACTTGCAGGCCCGGCCGGCGGACCCCTCCAGAGACTCCCCTGCTCCACTACCAACAGAAAGGGAGACCGGCGCCCTCGGGACTGAGGCACCGGCCGACCTTCTTCACCCACGTCCTTGAGGATATCAGCTTTAGTCTCCCTGGGAGGAGTCCCCTCCCCCCCCGCCCGACGCCCCTTGTTTCCTTCCTCTGTCACTGTGGGACAGTGGTTCCTGTCACTCCTCTGTGGGGAAGGCTCACTAACCGTGCTTCCACAAACCTAACAGCAGCTGCATTCAGAAACGGCAGAGGAAAACGGGGGGAGCGCGAGAACAGAGAACACCCCTTGTCAGTGCTAAAGGAGCCATGGCTGAAGGTTTAGAGAATGCTAGAACCAGCTCTGTCGCTAATCAGATTCATTCATTCGCTTCTTCATTCAACAAATGTTAACCGAAGCCTATTATGTGTTAGGCCGCTGTTCTAGGCACTGATGAAACATCTGTAAATAAAAACAGACTCTGTCCCCCCAAAACAACCCTGCCTTCATGAACACTGTGTTCTAGAGGAGCAGATGTATGATCCAGACAGCACTCTTAATCTAAATCTCAGTGTATGAATGTGTCAAATGTAGATTTAAAACGTCAGCCCTGCCCCTCTGGCATGTTTAATATGATGATGCGATTACAACTATAAGTAAGAAGAGTCTGTGAAGAATACGAAGAGTGATACAAGTATAATGAATAGAAAGTACAGAAAATGTTAACTTCGAAATGTCACCACTTAAAAAAATTGCCTCTTAAATACTTCTGAAAGTAAAATGACCAACGGAGAAAACAGACAATTCCTTACCGTGGAATCTTCAAATCAGAGAACAATCCTTTATTGTAGGAGAGGAAAAATGCAACTTAGAATGGCTTCAAACGTTTCTATCAAGTACTGACTGCCAAGGTGTTTTGATGGTCAGCCAAGATGGTGCAGAATGGCTTGTATGTTTTCAACAGTGCTGATGAAACAGCAATTGTAATTTGTTTTGTTACTGAAATCAGCCAAGGAAGCATAGAACCATAGAACATTAGAGTTGATTTCTGAGGAATTTGGTACAATTCCCTCAATTTTCAGATAGAAAAAGAGACCCAATGATGGGAGGCTATAAAGATTAGAAACTGTAACAGAGTAAGATCTGAAACCCTGGCCTCCAAAGTCACACTCCATGTCTGTGTATATTAATTACTTCCCTCTACCTAGCTTTATGCCATGTCCCTGTGACACTTGCAGTGAGGTTGGAAGTATCAAAGCATGCCCAAGAAGCAGGGAGGCTGAAAGAGTTAGGGTTCTTCCTCAGAGCCTGGTCTGATGGGGAAGAAGAAGGTTTTAGGAGACTATGAAATGATACATAGTATATTGATGGAAGGGAGGAGTAAGAATTCTGCTGGTGTTAGCAGTTGACATTCAAGACCTGGCATGTGGCTGCAGATACTCATTGAGAGTATCTCTTCCATCCTGTATAGACCAATTACTGTTTCTCAGTTCCTGTTAGCTCTGTGCTATTTGACACAAGAACCAAGTTCCAGAAGGAAAATGCTCCTGCTACCTTCCTTCACTTCAGGCAGAATTTCCAAGTCTGAATCAACTCTGAGCCTAGACAAATGCAGATCAGGCAATGAACACAGTACTGCCTATCCTCACTCTTTGCAAACAAAAATATGGTTTAGATTTCTCAAGCTTTATAGTTAGTCTTGAAATTAGGTATTGCAAGTCCTATAGTCTTCTTTTTTTTTAATTGGGGAATTGGGGGAGGGGAACAGTGTTGGGGAATTGGGGAGGGGGACCAGCCAAGTTTTTGTTCTTCAATCTTAGTTGTAGAGGGCGCCAGTCGTGGCCTCTAAGCTCAAGGTGCTGTGTTACAATCCTAGCTGCAGGTGGGCGTAGCCACCATCCCATGCGGGAGTCAAACCAGCAGCCTTGTTAAGAGTGCATGCCCTATCCACTGAGCCATCCGGACGGCAGCTCAGCTCAAGGTGCTGAGTTCAGTCTTAGTTGCGAGCGGCATCGCCCACTGTCAAACAGACAGTCTTGTTGTTAGGAACACGTGCTCTCACCAGCTGAGCCATCCTGCCACCTGTTGGCAGCTCAGCAGCTGCTCAACTCAGGCGCAAAGTCAGTGGCCCATGTGGGAATCGAACCAGTGGCCCTGTTGCTCAGAGCTTGCACTCTTAAGCTAACTCTTAACCAACTGAGCCACTCGGCTGGCCCTTCTTCTTTTTTAAAAAATCCTCTTGAATTATCTAGTCCTTCGCATTTCCACATAAATTTTGGTGCCAACTTGTTCATTTCTATAAAAATAATGCTGTTTTTTAATTAAAATTGTGCTGAGTTCATACATCAATTTTTGGCAGAATTGCCATTAGCCTATTAAGCCTTCCGGTCTGTGAGCATAGTATAGATTTCTACGTATTTAGGCCTTTTTGAGATTTTTTAAAAATATAATTAACAAGCTTTATTTCCCAGAGCAGTAAAACTGAATAAAAACTACTGAGTTCCCAATATATTCCCTTTCCCTCTGCCCACGGTTTCCCCTGCTATTAACATTTTTTGCATGGATGTGGCACATTTGTTACCATTGACTAATGAATATCTAGATATTATTATTAATAATGTCCGTAGTTTACTTTAAGGCTCATTCTTGGTGTTGTAGTTTTGCAGATTTTGCCAATGCATACTGTCCTGTATCTACCACTATAGTATTATACAGAATAGTTTTATTGCCTGAAAAATCCCCTGTGCTCTACTTATTCCTCCCTCCTTTTTTTCTCCTCCCTGTTCTGATGTCCTATAGTTGGTATCATATATATAGTAGGTAGCCTTTTCAAACTGGCTTCTTTCACTTAGCAGTAAGCATTTAAGATTTCTTCTTTTCATGCTTGATAGCACATTTCTTTTTATCACTGAATAATATTCCACTATATAAAGGTACCAGTTTATTTATCCTAATTCACCTATTGAAGGATATTTTGATTGCTTTGAAATTTGGCAATTATGAATAAAACTACCACAAACATTCAAATTCAGGTTTTTGTGTCGACATATGTTTTTAACTCATTTAGGTAAATACCTAGGGACACTATTGCTGGGTTGTACGGTAGACTATGTTTAGCTTTGTAAGATACTGACAAACTGTCTTCCAAAGTGGTTGTACATTTCCACCAATAACGAATGAAAATTTCTGTTGCTCCACATCATCAAGAGCATTTGGTGTTGTCAGTGTTTCAGATTTTAGCCTTCCTGATAGGTATATAATTGTACTTCATTGCTGTTTTAATTTGCAATTCCCTAATGACATATGATTTTGAACTTTTTTTTTAATCCTTGTTTGTTACCTGTGTATCTTCTTGGTGAAGTGTTCTATCCAGATCTTTGGCCCATTTTTAAAACTTGAATTATTTTCTTATTGTCAAGTTTTTGTGTTCTTTGTATATTTTGGATATAAGTCCTTTATCAAATATATGTTTTGCAAATATTTTCTCTAGCCTATGGATCATCTTTTCACTCTTTTAAAAGTGTCTTTCACAAAGCAAAACTTCTTAATTTTAATGAAGACCAACTTATTAATTTTTCTTCCATGGGTTATGCTTTTGGTGTGGTACTTAAAAATTCATTGTCAAAGGAGGAAGTAAAATTGTCATTATATGCAGATGACATGATACTATATATAGAGGACCCCAAAGACTCCACCAAAAAGCTATTGGAACTAACAGACAAATTCAATAAGGTAGCAGGATACAAAATCAATACTCAGAAATCAGTTGCATTTGTATATACCAATAATAAACTATCGGAAGGAGAAATTAAGAAAACAATTCTGTTTACAATCGCTTCAAGAACTATAAAATACTTAGGAATAAATTTAACCAAAGAAGTAAAATACCTGTACTCTGAAAATTATAAGATACTGAAGAAAGAAATAAAAGAAGATACAAACAAATGGGAAAACATTCCATGCTCATGGATAGGAAGAATTAATATAGTTAAAATGTCCATATTGCCTAAAGCAATATATAGATTCAATACAATTCTTATCAAACTACCTAGGGCATTTTTCACAGAAGTAGAAAATATAATCCTAAAATTTATATGGAACGAAAAAAGACCCCAAATAGCCACGGCAATCCTGAGAAATAAGAACAAAGTTGGGGGGATCACACTTCCAGACGTTAGAACATACTACAAGGCCACAGTAATCAAAACAGTATGGTACTGGCATAAAAATAGGCATATAGATCAATGGAACAGAATAGACAGCCCAGAATTAAATCCAGGCATATATGGGCAGTTAGTCTATGACAAGGGAAGGAAGAATTTACATTGGGGTAAAGATAGCCTATTTAATAAATGGTGCTGGGAAAATTGGACTGACACATGCAAAAAAACGAAACTGGACAACCTCCTTATGCCATATACAAGAACAAACTCAAAATGGATTAAAGACTTAAATATAAGACCTGAGACCATAAAACTCATAGAAGAAAATATAGGGTTTAAATTTGCAGACATTACCCTGAGCAATGTTTTTACTGATACATCCCCATAGGCAAGAGAAGTAAAAGAAAAGTAAACATATGGGATTACATCAAACTTAAAAGTTTTTTCACAACAAAAGAAACCATCAATACAACAAAAA